AGCTCCACTGGGGCTGGATGCCATGGTACAGATGTGGCCGAGGCTTCGTCTGTACACCTTTCCCCCGATTGTTCTACTCCCGGGAGTTCTGGAGAGAGTGCGCTGGAACGAGGTCAGTTGACTGCCAGTAGCCCCGTTCTGGCCGGGCCGAGTATGGTTCTTGGACCTGATTCCTCTCCTCGACGGCGCTCCATGGGAGATTCCCATCAGGAGAGATCTCCTCTCACAGGCGGAGGGTGCGTCCCTGCCCGGAGCTGTGGAAGCTGTGAGTGTGGCCTCTGAGGAGGCACAACTCATAGCTTCTGGTCTCTCAACTGAGGTTGTTGAGACCATCCTCCATCCAGAGCTCCCTCTATTAGGAAACTTGATGCTTCTTGGATTTCCTGCAGGCCTGTTTATCCGCAGGGTTGACCCACTCCACCCTAGAGGTCTTCGTGGCGGCCATTGCGGCCTACCACGCCCCTCTCGGTGGCCATTCAGTGAGAAGAAACCCTCTTCTTACACATTTCCTCCGCAGTGCACTGAGAGTGTGCAGTGCGCAGGCCACTCCTCCAGAAGTTGGCCTTCGGGATGGCGGGCCCCGCCTACTTTAGCCACTCCTGGCTCCCTTTTCTCTCGCCTCAGTTGTACTCTTCCACACTAGGCAGGGATTTGCAAGTCTGGCGGCGTGGGTATTCTCGTTCCCGTAGCGTTTCGATGCAGCTCGAGTTCCTGAAGGGGAACGTCTCCAGGTTACGTATGTAACCATGGTTCCCCGAAGGGAACGAGACGCTGCATCGGGAATGCTATGGGAACGCCTCTGTGTGACCGAAGTTCTGAAGCAAATGTGAAATCAGTCCAATAGAATAGCAATACGTCACAGGCAGGTGACGTAGAGACCAGGAAGCTATAAAAGTGCATCCAGTGAAAACTGGGTCAGCTTCTGACAGGTTAACGCAAGCACTCACAAGGATGCAGGAAGTATGGAAGGCAACGCAGCGTCGCGTTGCCTTCGGGGAACCATGTTTACATACGTAACCTAGGGACGTTCCCCTTCAGGAACTTGAGTTCTGTTAGAAACACTATGGGAACGGGAATACCAACTCTGTCATACTGACGAATGCCTGTCTAGTGTGAAGACTAACACACATCTAAGACAGAAGCGCACTAGAGCCCGGAGTAGTTCCCAAATCTGTTATAAAACCCGACAAAATTGAGCGGGGTAGACCATTCGTGCATAGATACACAAGATAAGAAGGCCTTCGAGGCCGCCATACTCCTAGTAGAGTGGGCCCTGACCCCAAAGGTGACTGGAGGTCAGAGGACTCATAGGCGAGGGAGATAGCCTCAAATATCCACCTGCTTAACGCACTGGACACACTAAATTAAGCTTCTCCTGGTCTGGCTCCCGGAAGGGAGGAGGACAGAATGCACTACCGGCCATGGAATCTGACTAGGCACCTTTGGCACATAACCAGGCCTTGGGTTCAAAAATGCTTTGACCAACCCAGGTGCAAAGTCCAGACATAATGGGGCCACTGAAAGGGCCTGAAGATCACCAACCATCTTAAGAGAGGAAATGGCCAGAAGAAACACTGTCTTAAGTGTTAAAAACTTCTCAGAAACCTCCTGTAGAGGTTCAAAGCTAGCCTTACTAAGCCCGTCCTGGACCAAGGCCAGATCCCATGCCGGGACTTTAGTACATATAGCAGGCCTCAACCTCAAAGCAACACGGAGGAAACGGGTTACCAACGGGTTCCTTCCTAATGATAAACCCTCCAAAAGGGAGTCGTAAGCAGATATAGCTGCCACGTACACCTTTAGGATGGAAGGAGTCAACCCTTCAGAGAATCGTTCTTGCAGGAACTCCAGCACTGAACCAACCGGGCAGTTAGTATTCAGCAGTGTTTGCCATCACAGGAATAAATTTAACTATAAAATAAATATGAAATTCCCTTTTAATAAAATATATTAAGATAGAAAACAGTTATTTTAATTTGCAGTGATATTTCACAATATTACTCTTTTTATTGTATTTTTGATCAAATAAATGAAGCCTTGGTGAGCATAAGAAACTTCTTTCAAAAACATTAAAAAAATTAAACTGACCCCAAGCTCTTCAGTGATCGTGTACATGTAGCAGGTATCTTTTATCTGAATAGAGATGTGCCATTTCTATATTGTATGAAATATGCACAAGTATTATGGTAGAATGCCATTCCAAAGATCGCCATGGACTCGCTTTCTCTCTTTTTTCTCCCTCTCACTTTCTCTTTCTCTTTGATACATATCTCATCAGACTGAGTTGTAGGGTTCATATCTGCTCTGTCACCAAACTAATTTAATCTGGCCACCTTTATAAGCTTCACAATCTTCTCAGATCCAAGATCTGTATTACAGATCATTCTGTCATCCAGAGCTCCCTCTATGAGGAAACTGTACTTCTTGGTGCGGAGACCGCCAGCTCGACCCAGCTAACTGCCCGTTTGGTACAGTTCTGGAGTTCCTGCAGGCCTGTTTATCTGCAGGGTTGACCCACTCCACCCTAGAGGTCTTCGTGGCGGCCATTGCGGCCTACCACGCCCCTCTCGGTGGCCATTCAGTGAGAAGAAACCCTCTTCTTACACATTTCCTCCGCAGTGCACTGAGAGTGTGCAGTGCGCAGGCCACTCCTCCAGAAGTTGGCCTTCGGGATGGCGGGCCCCGCCTACTTTAGCCACTCCTGGCTCCCTTTTCTCTCGCCTTAGTTGTGCTCTTCCACACTAGGCAGGGATTTGCAAGTCTGGCGGCGTGGGCATACTCGTTCCCGTAGTGTTTCGACGCAGCTCGAGTTCCTGAAGGGGAACATCTCCAGGTTACACATGTAACCATGGTTCTCCGAAGGGAATGAGACGCTGCGTCTCAGGGCCAAAGATCCGGCATCCCTGCCAGCGCTTGCTTCACTCCTAGAAGCTGACGCTGGTTTCACCGCACGTGTTTTTATGCTTCCTGGTCGCTACGTCACCCCACATCCATTGGACTGATTACACATGTGATTCAGAGCGTAGTCACGCTGGAGGCATTCCCGTAGCGTTTCGAAGCAGCGTCTCGTTCCCTTCGGGGAACCATGGTTACATGCATAACCTGGAGACGTTTTCCATTCTATGGCATTTTTAATTAAAGTTCCTGGAGGTCTAGTCTCTAAATTTCCATTGACGCAAAGTCAATCTTACACTGTTTTTGTGATGTAAGAACTTCACATTTAATTTCTCATAATTATTTTGATAAATGTTTAAGCTGGCAGCTGTAATTCTTTGTAAAAGTAGTAAACAATAAATCCTAAACAGGAAAACAGCATGATGTCTGTGTAAATACATTTTCTACAAAATGCCACCATTGCATTGACTGTTCCAGTTAGAGAAAAAGGGAGAAAACAATATAATTTTGTATAAATATATTAATTTATGAAGGAATTATTCATGGTCTATGTAGAAACTATTTTGGATCTGGACCACCGCTAATCTGTGATCTCTGGTGTAGGCTATAGAAATGGGTCTCTGGCTTGAAAGAAATTTAAGTCTACGATATAAACAGAATGTAGTTTTTGCTGGATGTTTTTTTTTTCTTATAAGTTTCCAGGTGATCATTACCTTTTTAGTGTATTTTTTTCTGTAGCCTATGGATAATTGAAATTGATACTTAGCAGAAAGTTGAGACACATTTAAATATTGCTTATGGATTTCTTGCAAGAGTTAAGCACAGGACAAGCAGATCTGGAGTAAATATAACAACAACCATAAAAAATAAAAGGAGTTCTACTAGAACTACCCACAAAAGTGTGGGTGGTTTGTTGTTAGCTAACCAAAATGCGATTGGCTTCAGCAATGGCCCTGTAAATGGATGTTTTCCCCGACAACAAAGACAATAAACAACAGCACTTAGTGAGCTCTCAAACTCTTAATTACCTATTAAGCACAGTCAGCTTGTCCATCTTCTTTCTGTGTCTCCGTAAGGGCCTTCTTGCTTGGAGAAGCCTCCAGTAGTACAAACACACTGAGCTGCATAATGGGAGTGGTCCCAGCACAGAGCCTTGCAGCACCCCAGTACATCAGTGCAGATTAAAAGTTGTAATGTGGGCAGGTACAAGTTGTTTTGCCACCATGTGTCACATGACCAAATCATCTATTAGATTCATCCAATTCATTCAAGCTTTTCATTTTTCCAATCTAGCTTGAATCCTCTAAACCTCATACATACTAGCTCCTTGCTTTTGTTCATGATTAGAATGTCATTAAAAATGTACTTAATCTAAAAAATGCAAATTTTGTCATCACAAGCCTTCATGCCATTCCCCATATTATCTTCTTTTGTCTGTTAACCACTAAAGGAGATACTAGTTGAAAGAAACAAAATAAAAATAAATAAAAAAATAAATTTAAATTCCGTATAAAGTACCATAAAAGTTGTCCATATGACCTGTGAGCTATATTTGGCTGCCAGGGCCTGAATGTAAATAAGAAAATAATTCTTAATTGACTTGGCTGGCTAAATTAAATGTGAACAACAATTTAAAATCTTCTGAAGACATACAATCGCTTTGTGTTATGGACAGAGCAAAAGACCAAAAAAAAAAAAGCCTAATAAACCAAACAGAAACTTCTTGCATCTGCACCAACAGGTGTCAGTATACAGTACAGTCCAATATCAATTAATTTGTATATTTTGTATGTATATGCTGTTCTTTATAGTCAAGTACAGCAGTCTAAAATGCCCATCTGTCCATTTCCATATCCACTTCCAGTGAAGTGATGTTTTGCAAACTTGTTCCCTGTGGACAACCATGTGAACCATGTAGAATCGTGACAAGGAATGACCTGTTATAATGCTTTAAGTGGACATGCAAGATCCTGATATATTCACACTGGGTGGCTGTTGTTTTTTTGTGAATGAATGTGAGGGGAAGAAACTAATCTTGATCACTCTGTTGCAGGTCTGACGGATGAGAAAGTGAAGGCTTATCTCTCCCTTCACCCACAGATGCTGGATGAGTTTGTGCTGGAGAGTGTGAGTGCGGAGACCGTAGACAGATGGCTGAAACGGAAAAGCAGCAGCCAGCCTGCAGGTACGGACTCATGGCCATGTGCTCCAATATATTCTTTAATAAGAGCCCTGTGCTCTAAAAATAGTGCTGCGATTACTTACTGTGACGATGTCTTTGATTTTGAGGATGATTTTTATTTTTTTTTGGACATATTGTTTTATTTTTCACAAGTGTAAACATTAATATTTTGACTGCATTTTGTTTCTATGCTTATTTGCTGGTAAATGTACTGTATGCTTCTGGAAAAATACATTTTTTAACAGTGTTTCTCAGCTGATGGGTCCCTGGTTTGGTCCTAAAAAATTTTTTAAAAAATGCAACAATTAGTTGAGGTAAAATGCAGCTAGCCATATAATCATAAATATCAAAATAAATTGACTTAAAATAATATGGTTTAAATCGGATATTCAGGAGACTTCCCATGTCTGTTTTGCTAATGTCAAAGGTTGTGTTTCCACTCAAACTATGGTGTTTTGGCACAAATTCTGTGCCTTGGTAATATGACTAGTACTATTATAATATCTATTATAATAAGCTGTGTTTGCTCTATCTATGAGGATGGGCCTCAGCAATTTATGTTAATTTTAATACATTATAAATTTTCAATTTAAAGGGCTTTTTTTTCCTTTTATAAAATTAACTTTTTCTACTGTTTTGTATCAACACTTGATTAAAATAAAAAAAGAACTATATAGACATTTAAAAAAAAAAAAATTACAGAACACGAAAATATAATTCATTAATACTGCATATTACTATTTGAATACTGGTTGTGCATGTCAGAAATTTTGTACATTTTGTATGCTTGTTCATTATTACAAATATTCTTACACATTTGAGGCAAAACGTATTAATTATTCAGTTGTAATATAGTAATCATATATATTTTCCATATGGACAGGAATCTATATGGTACAGTAAAGTTTTTTTCTTTCTTTTTTTTCTCAGTACCCTACAATAAATAATTTTATTTTTGTTCTTCCATATGTTCCATTTTGATTTAAAAAAATTACAGAACACAGATACTATATACTATAAATATTATAACTTTAAGATTAAGAAAATATAATTCATTAATACTGCATATTACTATTTGGATACTGGTTGTGCATGTCAGAAATTTTGTACATTTTGTATGCTTGTTCATTATTACAAATATTCTTACACATTTGAGGCAAAACGTATTAATTATTCAGTTGTAATATAGTAATCATATATATTTTCCATATGGACAGGAATCTATATGGTACAGTAAAGTTTTTTTCTTTCTTTTTTTTCTCAGTACCCTACAATAAATAATTTTATTTTTGTTCTTCCATATGTTCCATTTTGATTTAGATTATTGGTTGGTGTACCATTCATGATAACATGTGTTTGAGCCAACAAAACTGCATCAATACTCTTGACGTGCACACCTCTCCTGTGCATGTGTCTGTGTGTATGTAACCTGAGCAGCAAAGACTGCAGAAGGCTAAAGGGTTAGTGCACTGGTGAAAGTATGGGAGAGGGGGCCTGCTGGGTCCTTACGGGTCATTAGGGCTATTTAAGCGGGACTGGCTTCTCTGTGCACAGCATGCTTCATGCTGCGGCCCGCTCCACTCGACCCATCACATCCATCAAGGGCCCACATGGGTTGGCGGCCAGCCCAGCTCAGCTACTGACGTCAGAGCCAACCTCCAGGGGCATGCAGTCGGTCGGGAGGGGGACTGGAGGAGGGTGAATGTGTCGCATTTTGGGAATGTTTTCTGCATGAGTGCAGCAGAGCTCTCTCACAGGCTGCCGGCTGATGGTTAACCTCGGCTCTGATCGGCAGGCTGGGCAGCAGTATTTTTCTCAGGCACCGTTTCAACATCAGACTCTCTACAAACCATGTGTGCCAGATTCTGTCTTGGCCTGAGATGCATATGAAGCAGTGCTTTGAATTAGCATGCATGTTAGCTTTCAAATTATTTGTGCATGTCAATGCTCAAAGGTTTTTTTTTTTTTGTTTGTTTGTTTTTTGTTTTTCCCCACTGACCATCGATTAAAGCATATGGTCCAGAATGTGTGATCAATCAACCAAGACACATTACATTTCATATCTGTTCATCCTGTTAACACTGATAATCTTCTAAAATACATTTTTTAATGATTTTTTTTTTAATTTAGCTGTACAACCCAGTGGTATAGAAAAACTCCCTGAATTTTGACAATGAATGTACAGTTCGATACTGTTATCTCAGTGTTTATGTAATTGTTTAGTTTTTTTAACCCACCAAAAGTCTGTCCTAGATGGAATTTTCATATATATATATATATATATATATATATATAAACTTTAATTTTTGGGTGAATTATTCTAAATTAGATCCTGAAAACACCATGGTTACTAACCAGATAAAATAAGATTCTGAGTTGTTGGGATGCTTCTGTAATATGGTCGCTGAAAGTTACTACACTCATTGAAGATTCACTTCAGAGCATGAAAATAAATTCAAGATTTCCCAACATGGAAAATTCTTGAGCAATCATTTAATTTGCAGATGTTTCTTATGCAGTCAGTCAGGCTTTACCGGTCACTTTCTGCAAATCTGTATATTGAATTACAGTAAGTATTAGAAACTAGCTGTGTACTTTGTGAACCGAGTGACATATAATCATATTGTAACTTTCACTTATGTCATTTGGAAGAGGACATAGGTGATGTAACGTAGGGTCATCAATCAGATGTGTAGCATTCTGTGTGGGCCTGGTCATTAGTACACAATAAACTCTCTGAACAACTTCCACAATAACAATGAGCTTCAGGCCCTCCCTGTGAGAGATGAAAACCTCTGCTGTCCTCTGTCATGTATTTCACTGTGTATGCACAGTGCTCACTTACCACATCATACTAAGGACTAATGAGGTTTCGAGCTTAATTGTCTTTGGTTCTTATAGAACTTATGTACCAGAGAAACAAGTGCACAGCCATCTATAGAATTTTGAACATCTATATTGTTTTTGAACTTTGTATGTTTCTATGGCACCGCTGTTGACGAGTAATTAGTTGGTGAAGTGGAATTACTTATTGTAGAGTTAACGAAAGTTATTATGAGTATTGTAATGTTCGAAGCGAATGTCATAATAGTTGTCAGTAGACCGGGAAGATTTTAAAGAGTGGTTCATTCATAAATCCGTAAGATCTTACAGTGGAAAGACAAACCGGAAGACAGAAGACTACGAGCGCTGCGCTGAAAAGGGCCAGAGCTACATAAGGTGTGTATGAGTCTGTGAGCAGCTACAGCCCGTTGAACAGTCAAGTATGTATATGTATATGTATAGTAGTACATATAGTATCTGAGAATGTAAAATAATCAGGATTATGTTGGGACATTTTTTTTTCCAATTTTAAAAATTAAACGTTCTGCAGAAGAAGACAAAGAGGGCTGGAATGGCAGTGCTGGTAAATGATGACAGATTTTTCAAATGACCACGTTCAGGAGATTCAGAGAATAAGAGACTATCGGTGCAGGTTAATCACAAGGCTCTAATTGAGAAAAGCAAAAGGAAAGCTTTCACAGAATTCCAAGTAAAATCTGAACATCTTTTATTTGATAGGTCACAAGTGTACTTGTGTGATCACTGATTAGTTTAATAATAGGTTGTCCTAATCTGGTGTACTTCTCACTGTCTTATGAGTCTGTGAGCAGCTACAGCCCGTTGAACAGTCAAGTAAGTTATAGTAGTACATATAGTATCTGAGAATGTAAAATAATCAGGATTATGTTGGGACATTTTTTTTTCCAATTTTAAAAATTAAACGTTCTGCAGAAGAAGACAAAGAGGGCTGGAATGGCAGTGCTGGTAAATGATGACAGATTTTTCAAATGACCACGTTCAGGAGATTCAGAGAATAAGAGACTATCGGTGCAGGTTAATCACAAGGCTCTAATTGAGAAAAGCAAAAGGAAAGCTTTCACAGAATTCCAAGTAAAATCTGAACATCTTTTATTTGATAGGTCACAAGTGTACTTGTGTGATCACTGATTAGTTTAATAATAGGTTGTCCTAATCTGGTGTACTTCTCACTGTCTTGAGCTGTGGAGATACCCGGACATCATATGATTCCACTGTTGTAGTGAATGTGAGAGCCTCATTACAGGCCTAACAGCAGGGCCAGTGGCTTCAGTCCATGTGATGTGATGCTCTTCGTATCTTTCTGTTCCAACTTTTGCAAATACCGTGACCTGTAATACCTCTAGCATGTCAGGCGTTTTTGCAATTAATGAAGATTCTACAGTCAAAGTACCATCCGTCTTTTTGTGTTTGAGCATTGTCTCACCCGTCATAAATAAATAACTAAATATATATATATATATATCAGTGGTGTTCCGTCCATATAAGCTGCGAATGCTCCGCATACCCAGGCCATCTGAGAGAATAAGTTCACGGGATAATTCATATAAACATGATTATAAGTTGATCCCTTGTCATTTGAAATGTAGCTTAAAGAGTTAGGAATAAGTACGTACAATGATTTATTTGCCAAACTGCAGTAGTTTTCTTTAAATCTACCAGTTGCAGTTGCTTCCGGGCAAGCAGATTCTCCGCAGCTTTCTCGCCTCTGCTCTATTGCTATGACTTGTCAGGATTATAGCGCGTTCTCAATGATTTGCTGGTCTGCGGCTGATTTAATGCGCAAGGTAAGCTGTCCGCAAAGTGCTCGCCCAAGCGGAAAAATGTGCTGTTGCTGTCAGATCTCGATTGCCGAAAATTATATTGTGTATGATGCAAAACCAACTCGACTAAATCAAAAGGAAAAAAACTGTAACTGTATATTTTTGTTTTCTCAAGCAAAGCAAATTTGAAAAGTCCACTGAAAACATATCTTCTTATATTTTTGGCCATAGACAAACAACGTATGTTACAGATATACGTTATTGTCAATGTTATTGCCTAAGTGGTAAATTACATTTTTTTTTTTTATAAAAACGTGGGCTATATAAAATTTTAATAATAACAAACATTATAATGGTCCCTCTTTTTTGAAGTCCTTCTCT